CCAGCAATTGGTTGCAAAGACAAAAGAATTAGCAAAACTTCTTGATACACTGGACATTGACGATAATGCCTCTAGTTCAGCTAAAAATCAAAAGCGACACAGTAATCCGACAGATATTACTGGAGTAAAAAGTAATTACTACTACTATTATTTTTTATTTTATTTTTTATTTTATTTTTTATTTTATTTTTTATTTTATTTTTTATTTTATTTTTTATTTTATTTTTTATTTTGTTTTTTATTTTGTTTTTTATTTTATTTTTTATTTTATTTATTTTATTTTTTATTTTATTTTTTATTTTATTTTGTATTTTATTTTGTATTTTATTTATTTTGTATTTTATTTATTTTATTTTTATTTTATTTTATTTTTTATTTTGGTATTTGAATTTATTAGATCTTCTAATCTATACATATACTCATATTAGACGTAGAATCAGAATTAGAAAAAGACCGTTTGGAAGAAGAAAAAATACAATTAAAAAAATTATGGGATCAAGAACTCGAAGAATTATCTCAGCAAAAAGAATCAAGTAAATAATATTGAACATTCTGTGTAGGCCCGTTAATGGCTTACTTGAGACCGGCTCTGGCTGCATAATGGAGCTAAGCTGTTCCAAGCTAATTGAGCTGAAGCTTGAATCATAGTCAATTTATAGCTTAGCATTAGATTGTGGCTTGAATTTAGATTTGAGTCATAAATTAGCTATGACTTGATTTAAACCGTGACTCTTGGTTTTTTACGTGATTAATATCATGTTTCCAGCTATTACAACTATAGCTTGAGTCATTGCTATTTGAACTATGGCTCAGGTTATGGCATAGCTCAAGCTGGAACCATGACTTTTAGGAGCAAGCCAAGCCATCTAAGCCGATAACAGCCTTAATTCTGTGCGTACTTTTTAAAATATAAAATTTTTTTTTTCTTATTTGAACAGTCGAACCATTAAATTCAACGCCACCGACATTACAAGTGGAGCAACCTTTATCAAGCATTCTTCTACAAAAACGCCAAAAAGCAGCTACGCCTGATATAACAATAATTGATGAATTCAATGCTGGTGATTTGGAAGATGACTTTTTCGATGATGCTCCCGATCCGGTTGTGGTATTGCCCCCAGCTACCCAATCTAAAGATGATGAAGTAGAAGATTTGGATTCGAAAAATCCGATGGTTGCTACCGATGAGGACCTTGTTGGAGTTGAAGGTTATGATGACGTAGAAGATGATAAACCTAATATTCGTCAAAGTTTTAATAGTAATCTTGATATCTGGAAACATCGTTACAATAATGTAACTTTAGCGAGTCGAATAAGTGATAGCAGTGATGACGATTTAACACGAACGATATCTGAACAAAGAGATTTACATTATACTTTTGAAGAAGCATCTTTTGATACTGAAGGAACGCCTAATGGCTATGAAGAGATCGGTGAAGGTCAAAATAATCCATGGGCATAATTATGCATATATTTCTGGTCTAATATGTATAACCGATAGAAAAAGGATATAATTAAAATCATTTTTAAATATGGTGTGCGTTTAATAGCATTAAATATATTAAATTTACACTCGCAACAATCCTTTGCATAAAAGTTTAATTACACTAAATATTTCTTTAATTTGTAAATTATTTTGACAAATTTAGATTTTATTACTAATTGTTTAAATAAATTTTTTTTGGTAAGAGGGCGGGCTCTAGGGTGATCATGTGCACATAGAAAAAACTTAATGATTAACGTTAATAGTGCCCTAACTATATCAAAGTTCACCCGTAAATTTTATATATTTCGCGATCTATCAGATCAATTTTACTACATCAGGACCGTAATAGGTGTCGCTACCGCTTTTCTTATAAGTACAAGAATTTGATTAATAAAAATAAAGGAAAAAGGGGGAACATTAGATTTATTTTAACTCTGCATTAGATTGTAGAAATTGCATCAAAAAAGAAAGTATCGAGTTAAGCATTTTTTTTCAACAATTTTCTATTTTTCAATAAAATAATCTTATAATTGAAATCTTCTAAATTTTGATTTTGTCAATAGATTTTGTAGCTGGATTGCCTGTCATTAGCATGTAATCTTTTTATCTCGTTCAATAGCCAAACAAGGAGTAATAATAAAAAATCGGTAATTAGAAAGCTTTCGTGGAGTAACGGATATCACACGAAGATTATATTAAAAAATAAATAAGGAATCTCAAAACAAAGAAGCCATTTTTTATTTTCGTCGTCTAGTTACAAGTTGAAATCCTTCATCATCAATAATTGGTTCTTTCTTTGACGAATACATTTTATTTTGATCGGTATTTGAAACATTTTCGAAAGTATCCATTGCATCAGTCATTTCTACATCTTCATTTTTACCATCATTATCATCATCGTCATCATCGTTGTCACCAATTTGTTGTGATTTCACTTTTTTTGAAGAAGCGATACTACTATTAACGGAGGTGATGTGTCGTGATCTCAAGAGATCGATGGAGGTGTAGTTTCCTTCTATACATTCAGCGTATAGTTTGATTAGATCTTTCGATACCTTATTGTAAATTGCATTAATATAAAAATAAAACATTAACATGATATTAGCTAGGTAAAGTTATAATAGTTTAATTTACCTGATAGGCAGAATCATCTTCCAACAAAGTACTGAATTCATCCGCCATTACTTGTTGTAAAATTGACTCTATGTCTTCTGCGTGAGTTCCTTTGCCATCTTCAATTATTCGTTATGATTTAAATAGACAACATATATACATATATATGATTTTAAGATTATTTTTTGATCCATTCTTTTCGCATTTCTGCGCGTTATCGGTCAATGAATTTTTTTTTTTTTTTTACTGAACGTACGTACGTTTCCCAAAGTATTCCACAACAACGTCTACAAACCAATCACGTTTATCCTCAGAGTCAACACCACCCCATTGCATTTCCACGGCTAATTTTAATGCAGTCCAAGATTTGAATACATAAGTTACTGCTTGATAAAATTGATCATTTTGAGTTTGCACGGTAGACATTTTCAAAATTCGAATTTTAGTTTTATATTTCTGAGCCTTTTTATTGGATAACGATAAATGATCGGCTATCACTATATTTTAGGCTACATAATTTTTTCTTCATAAATTTTTTTTTTTTGAATCACACTGTCTATACCATGAATAATAATAATTCTTTTACCAAAAATTTATCTAAAATTAAAAAATTATCTAAAATTGAAACTTTATCTAAGGTTGAAGATTTATCTAAAATTGAAGATTTATCTAAAATCGAACAACTTCTTTCCGAACAACTAACTGGAAAAGAACGTAGAAAATACAATGAAAAGAGGATATATGAATTAGGTGCCAAGGTAATTATTTTATTTGAAAATATTGAATTTTTTTTACTCATGTTTGATAACTAGAAATGTATTTTTCATAAAAGCCTCAAAAAGGTGTTAAAATTCCAACACCCATTGCGTTAGGAATGCAAGCTAAACGTCTTGAACGTGAAAATAAAAAACTTCAGGAGGTCATTAATATACCAAGTTTTTTTTTATATTCTTTTTACCTTTTTTTTTCCAAGTACTAAAATTTTTTTACATATAATCCTATTACTTTAACAAAAGGCAAAGAACCTAGGGCTATATCATCACTCGATAAAACATAATTGGGCTGGTTCCACATTTTCACTTTCTAAAAAAAATAAAAGAAATTATCGAGATAAAGGGATTAAAATTGGGATTGGTAAAGTCAAAGGTGGTATGCTAACCTTGAGTTCTAACGATATTAAGAAAGTTCAGAATAGTAATAGAATCAAAAAACGAAGTAAAAAGAAGCGCAAGTGATTGATCCAACTCAGCTATTAGTTATCGCATATTTTTAATTAATTTGATTGTTTAATTATGTGGTCATGTATTAATTTAAAGTTTAGTTTTTGGCAAATTTCTCAATTAATCTATTTTCGATTGCATCGATTGTATCACTACAAATCTTTTCTTTTTTATTGGCTGATATGAAAGGACGAAGAAATAAAAGCCTTCGAGCTTCCAAAATACTCAAATCTCGGATTCAGAAACTGGACCTAAACTGGATTCAATATCTAAAACGTACTGGCTGACTTTTAATAAAAACAATCTTTTTTAGACTTTAATTACTTTCTTGATGTATTATAAAAATAAGTAATTAATCATAGTATTAAATAAACTCAGTGTTGAATAATCTTAAAGAATAAGCTAGAATAGCAAGTAATTTATTAGAAATTAAATGCATTAATCAATTGATATTGCAAGAGATCCAGTATCAATTCAGTCTATTAAATCATTAGGGCCTTATATTTGTTAAATTTGTTCTTTTAGATTACAAATATCAAGGTAAAAACACGCGTGCAAATAAGGATTAATAAAATATATTTAAGAGGCAGTCCGCAGTTAAAGAATATAAAATACGGCGGACATTTTACTATTTTAGCTTTCATATAGTGATGAAATGGCGAGCATTTCTAAGGAAAAACCATATAGTAAAAAAGAAAAAATCTTAATATCTTGTGTGATTTACATAACCAATTTTAATGATTTTATTATCATTAGAATCGTAATAACACGTTCTACAACTTTTAATTAAAGATTCAAACGATATTTACTTAGTAAAAAAAAAAATACTTTTCATTGTAATGAATCGGCATTCCACTACTATAAAAAATTTATAATAAGTTCCGACTATGATACTTAGTAATGATTATACGCTACCTTTTATGTATCTTTCAAATCTTCATCTGAAGCACTTGTTACAATAGCACTATTGAAATTCTTCCAGAGAGATGCAACGTTTTCAAACTCTTTCCCGATCGCTATTGCACCTTCAAGATTCTTGTTAAGAACGTTTATATTATTGATAACTTGTTCGAGTCCCTATTTTTAAATATCAACAAAGTGAGTATACGGTTGAAATTAAAAATATACATTTAACCATTCATTTAATAATCTGATACCAGAGCAATATCATTGATTAAGCTTTCTTTCTGCTTTTGGAACGTTGTCCTTTCATTTGATTCCATCTTTATTAAGCGTATCAAGAGTTTGTAAGTTTGATTTTGCTATGACAAGTTTGAGACGCGTATTAGATCAGGTGCAACGTTCGTTACACCAACTATAATTCGGATGATTCTGATTGGCCAAAAGATTACTTGCCAACTTGTTCACGTGAAATTCAAAAATTAGAAAGACCATTGGAAGCAAAATTTTACTATTAAAAATTTCCACTGGAAGGCCAGAAATTCCCACTGGAAGCCAAAATTAATAACACTGCTCTAGAGTTGACGTAGCACGTACTGAATCAAGTACCTAGCCATGGAGAAAACGAGGTTCTTACCCAGTATCGCCGTCAAAATTTTACTTTCACGTGACAGTGTTTAAAAATCTTTAAATTCGTTTAAGTTTGTTTAAGTTAGGGTTAACATTTATAATAGGGCTAGGTTTCTAAGAAGTAATAGTAAAATCACTCGAGAAATTTTTTTGTTTTTATCTTCCCGATCGTATACGTTACATTAAAACGAGACTCGCTATTGGATGATAATCACGTGAAAGTGAATGTAACATACCAATCAAAATACAGAATTGTGTGTAACATGAAATTTTACGAAAACAAGTTTTTTTCAAAAAATCAAAAATTGCAAATAGCTCCTTATTAAATCACCTGCGCTTTAATTAAAAAATTTCTTGCAAAATTTTACTATACGATACGATTTCCTAACTCTGAATATATGTTTTTCCTTTTATTTATATGTTGTCTTCGATTGTTTTGATTAGGGTCCGTATTGGGCCGGGCTAAACCCGCGGGTTTCAGGGTCGGGTCGGGTTTGGACCCGGGCCGGGCCTAAATTTTAGAGTTTTGATTGTAAAGCGGGCCGGGTTCGGGTCGGGTTTATTAAATGTTGGACCCGGGTCGGGTTTAGTAAACGGGCCCAGTGCAGCCCAACAATACCCTAACAAAAACTATTATTATTTTTACTGTAGTCCCTATTGGCTACAGCTTCGGTTAGAT